AAAAAAAACAACAACCAAAAAACCCAAAAAACCCAAAAAAAACCCCAAGCCAACCCTCCCCCCCCTCAAAGAAAAAAAGCACCACGTGACGATGACAACGTAATATCATAACAATCCGAGACTCGATGAATCATCTTCCCTCTCTCTTGCTAACCACGTGCAGAGTTTGAATTAAAATTTCGCTGTAGATAAAAACCAAACAAATTTTTTTAACAAAACAAAACAGAAAAAAGCAAAACAAAACAAAACAAAACAAATCCAATGACCTTCAGGTGTCTCAACCCCATTTTCCTGTCGGTAACCGGAACTTCTCCAGCTCCACCCTTTATGTTACTACTATCTGTATAGTTCCAGTTCTCAAGTTACCGCTCCTACCTATGTGTACAGTCGGGGTATCTAGGACACCAGGTTCCATTCATTTGAAAGTGTATTTTGAGAGTTGTATTCCGTTCGTACTTTCCCCGTGTCCTTTTATTCGACTGGGAAGAAAATATCGTTTACCAGCTTTAAAAAGTACTGAACCTAACATTTTGAAAAAGTTTTTATTGAAAAAATAATTATTGCAGTTTCTCAATGTGGGTTAACGGTTGCATTTTGTCGAAATTTGAATTCGAGATGTTGGAAAAAGAAACAAGGAAAGATACATAATGTGGGTACAGTTTTTAAAAGAATGAAGCAGTTTCTTTTCTCTCTTGCTAGCAAAATGTTTGCTTTCTGGGCTTAGCACATTTTTACGGCTTGCCAACGGTATGCTGCTTTTTTCAAATCAAAAGACAGTGACTTCTCCTTCAGCAAACCTTCTGTCTTTTACAGTCCTTTTACAGGGTTTTTTTCCGCTGCATTTGTTTGACGTCGGCTAACTTCAAATTTATACTAGGAACAGAATATTCGAATGGAAGAGATATGCGCGTAACAGGGTGCAGCACGGTCCATCCTCCAAGCGCAAGAGACGATGAATAAGAATAAATTAACTTTTCACGGGAGTTATGTATTGTGAATTCATGTAGAAAGAGAAGCTGCACTACATTATTATATACGTTATCTTAATATTTATATAGCTGGAAGGGAAACGTCAAGGCTCGTGGCTTCATCAGAGGACATGAAGTGTATACATGAATAATACTATCCGTCAGAGGCGGAACTACATCAAAGCACAAGCTGAACAAATA